AGCCCTGCGGGGTCAGCTGGAGCACTGCTGATGGTCGTCGTGTGGATGGATGCCTGCAATTGTGGGGGGGCTCTCTTCTTTCCAGCCATCGGCTCTTTGGGTCCGTTCGCCGGGCAAAGCAGCGCGGAGTTGGTGGTTTGAATCCAGCGGTCGGGGTTGGCAGCTGGCGCGTGGCGAGGCAGGCTGGGGTAGCCCGGCTAAGCCAGCTGAGATAAGCTTAGTACAGGGAGTAAATCCAGTCTTCCCGGTTGGGTTGCAGGGAGCCTCCTGCAGCCTGGCGCTGAAGGCTTTGCTCTGGGCTGAAGGTGGGACTTGTGGTCCTCTGAGGATGCTCTGTGCAAAAGCTTTATAGCAGGATCCCCCGGAGGGGTGAGTGTTGACCCCCAAGGGTCGATGTTGTTATTTGTAGTACTGTTAGCTAAAGTGGTACGGGGGTCGATGAACAATCTGATGCTTTGTGAAGGGGTCAATGAGCTGAGGAGTTTGGGGACCCCTGTTTATAGTCATGCTTTAAGAGAGGATGAAATCTGTGTGCGATGATTCGGTTTGCAGGGGAAGCTTTAAACAAGTAACAGCAGGTGGCAGCGCCTAACCGTTTTGGTTGATTTTGAAAAAAAAAAACTCATAAAGGTTGGACCCCATTGCTTTGTAGATGTAAGACCACTAGGAAATGCCCCAGTTGTAAGGTTAGACTGGGCTGTTGAAAAATCAGCCCAGAAGAAGATGACGCTGATAAATAAAGCTGTGGAGGCTCAGAAAAGGTGGTGGCAAAACTTTTGTATCTTGGCGCAGCTTCGGTAACATCTTCTGAACTTGAGTGAGTATTTTCCTGATCCCGCACCGCCACTGGGAGCTCAGTAAAAAGAAATGCCTCCTGTAAAGAATTGCCAGCAGGTACAGAGAGGGGGCCAATGCCAGGCCCAAGGAATACAGGCTACTCTGACTTCTCAAAGGCTGAGGGGTCCGATTCATCGAGTTGCCCGGCTCAGGAGCCAGTAGGTGATCAACTACCTGAGGCTAACTTGGTCAGTAATCAGAATCACAAGGGCAAGTAAGGGTGGACTCAGGTGATAAGAGGACAGATCTTGGCAGGGTGCCTAGTTCCAAGATGTGGCAGCAGCTTCAGAGACCAGAACAAAGGAGATCTGCTTTGCTCTTCGAGAAGCAAAGATGTTGGTGTCCCTAATT